TGTATTACATTCTATTTTGTGCCACTGAGCTAACTATATACTGTATAACAGTAAAAGATTTTGCTAGTGCATTCTATCTTTTTCAGGACAAATTATCTTCATTGCACATTTTAAGCTTATTTTTTATTCTTTGAAATTACTAGAGGGAATCTTTATGTTACGTTTGACTGGTGGTAAATTAATAAGATGTATCTTTTTAAATATCTGTTTGTATTTTCTCAGTACATGCTTGCAGTACATGCAATTTATAGTCATCTTGGGGAGTGGGTGTATATACATAATACAGCTCAGTTCTTGTTTTTTAAATTCCTTTCCCTCCCATGCCCTTCCCTCCTCCTTTAAATGCCCTTTCCCAAGTTCAGTTCTTGTTGATATTATTACTTTTATCTCATGTTTATGACATAAATTGTTTATATTCATTTATATTCATGAATATATTCATGTACATGGCATATATTTATTCCACTTATTTCCCCTTCTTGTCTCCCTCTCCTCTCACTCACATTCTCTTGCACCCCTTCCCATTAGAAAGACATCTATCCCTTTGTCTCCTTTTACCTATCCTTTATTAGGCTCTTTGTATTTTGCTTTATTCAAATGAGCGATACTATACAGTATTTAAGCTTGTGTGTCTGATTTATTTCACTCAACATTATATTTTCCAGGTGCATCCACTTTCCTGCAATGACTAGAATGTGTCCTTCTTTATAGCCAAGCAGCATTACATTATGTATAGGTACCATATTTTCTTTACCCATTCATCTGGTTATAAAGGCTGCTTTCAGGATTTAGCTCTAATGAATTATGCTGCTATAAACATTGGTATGGATGTATCACTATAGTATTGATACCTTTAGCTCCTTGGGGAAGATATCTAGGAGAGGGATAGCTGGGTCATATGGAAGTTCTAATTTTAGTTCTTTAAGGAATTTCCATATTGATTTGTATAATGTTTGTTCTAGTTTTCATTCCTATCAACAATGCAGGAGGGTTCCTTTTTCACTGCAGTCATGCCAGCATTTGTTATTTTTTGATTTCTTGATTGCCGTTCTTTCTGATGTAAGATGAACTCTTAATGTTGTTTTAATTTGCATTTCTCTAATAGCCAGGGACGTTGAATTTTTTTATATATTTGTTGGCCATTTCCATTTCTTCATCTGAGAAATGTCTGTTCATTTCACTTGTCCATTTTTTGACTGGGCCTTTTGTTTTATCTTTTGTAGACTTGAATTATATGAAATGCTTGGTTTTTTCACTCAGTCTACAATCTGTTCCTACTGTTATTTCATTCTGATATAGATACATTGTTTTTACTTTTACAATAATACCTACAATTATTTTATGGTTGTTTTTAAAAATTCTAATGACTGTTATGTAAGAAATCTTTTACATTTAAAAGTAACATTGCCTATAGACAAGATATCTATTGTTTTCTCATTTTATGTAGTTTTTTGTAAGTCAACGTATTATTAATTCCAGTGATATTTTATGTAACTCTATAGTGTTTTCAAAGGAAATTTTATGAATATAAATGAGCATTTATTATTTCAAAATATGATAGTGATGACTCACAGGCATTATTTCCTCCCACCGAAATGACCACAGCAAGAAATTAGGGAGTTTATAGAGTGATGAGTACTGTGACTGTCTTGTTCCAGATACACTTGGGAATATCCTCAGGTGCAGCCACTGTGGAAATCAGTATGGAGGTAACTCAAAGAACTAGGACTAGAGGTCCCATTTGACCCCGCTATTCCACTGCTCGGTATCTTCCCCAAAGAATTAAAAGAATCATACCACAGCGATATATGTGCACCCATGTTTATAGCAGCATAGTTTGTAATAGCTAAAACTTGAAAACAGCCCAAGTGCCCATCAGCTGGAGCCTGGATAAAGAAGATGTGGTTTTTAAATAAAATGGAGTACTACTCAGCCATAAAGAATGAGAAAGTAGAGACATTTATAGCTAAATGGATGCACATTGAGCCCATACTATGAAGTGAAATAAACAGGACACACATGTGTAAATACTGAATAGTTTCTCTAGTGTGAGAAACTGAAAGTGTAAATAAGGACTAAAAGGTATAAAAGATAATGTGAAATGGGAAGAAAAGGAGCAAAGGGGAAAACAAAGTGGGAGGGGTAGGGGAAAGGAAAGAAAGGAATGGAAGTAATATGAGAAAATGAAAAAATGGAAACAAAGTCTATGTAAATGGGGAGGGATGGAGGGGTTGAAGGGAGGGCAGGGGAATGGGGAAAAATAAGAACCAAGAGAGATTATGTAAAGGTGCAAATTCCCAATGATGAATGTCATTATATTGTATACCTAAAATGTACCAATAAAATTAATTAAAAAATAATGTTGCCTTGTCATTTTACAGTCATTTTTCTTTTATTTTTATTTCAACATGCAGATAATCTGCATTTATATTTCAGAAAGGATCTTACTTCTTGAGTTCAAATGGCTTGCAACTAAAGCTTTTGACTTTTAAATTAGATTCTTTCTCTAAAATATTTTTCATTGAAAAATAACTGCTTGTACATGTTATGAGGTACATTAAGGTAATTCAATACATGTATACAATTTTAAACATCAATTCGTGTAAATAATCACTGCCATCTTTTCAGACATACATCATTTTAACGTATTGAGAATTCAACATTCTTTATTGTGAAGCATAGCAAGGGTTGTTTAAGCAATAGTTACTTTATTGTGCTGTAGAAAACCAAAACTAATGTTTCCTGTGTTTCCTTGTCCCCTATTTAATTCTTTTCTCTTTCCTTTCTTCCATGCCCTTCCCGGTATCTTGTAAACATGCTCTTTTCTTCTAGTCTGAGAAATCACCTTTTTACTTCCCAAAATGTGCAAGAACATGTGGAATATGTCTGTTGGTGTCTGATTTATTTCATTTTAACATGACCTCCAGTTCCATCTTTGTTGGTAAGAATGATAGGATTTCACTTTTTTATCGCTAAATGTACCTATAGTATTTTCATCCAGTGATGAGCATGTAGGTTGTTTCCATATTCTAAATATGGCAAATAGTGTCAAAATAAACACAAAAGTGCCAGTTTTTTTGACATAATGATTTCATCAGAGAGAGAAAGAGAGAGACAGAGAGACAGAGAGAGAGGGAGGGAGAGAGAAAGAGAGAGGGAGGGAGAGAGAGAGAAATGGAATTTTGAGAATTCTCTTTTTAGGTTTTGGAGGACTATCCCTACTCTTTTCTATATTGGCTATACTAATTTAACTTTCCACCAACAGTGTAAGAGTTCCTCTTTCTCCTTACCCTTATCAACACTGGGTTATTTCTGGTTTCTTGATGATAGTCATTCTATCTGAGGTTAGATGATATGGTGATATTGATTTTATTTCCTTGGTATCAGTAAAACTGAGCATTTTTTCATATAGGTGTTGGTCATTTATATGTCTTTGAGAAACATGTACAAATATTTAGAGTATTTTTATTGAGTTATTGGATTTTTTGGTGTTCACTTTCTTGAGTTCCTTATGTATTTGGAATATAACTCTCTTGTCAAATGAATAATTTATAAACATTCTCTCCTGTTCCATAGCTTGTCTAATGATTCAGTGGATTATTTCCTTTGCATGTTAGAAGCTTCTTAATTTGTCTATTTTTAGTCTGTTGCCTGCGTCTTTGTGTCCTATCTAAACTTTATTTTATTTTTTTATTTTTGGTACTGGGGATCGAACTCGGGTCCTCGCACTTGTGTAGCAGGCGGCGAAACCACTGAGCTAAATCCCCAGCCCTTAAACTTCATTTTCTTGAAGTTCTTTCCTATGGTTTCTTATATTTATTTCATAGTTAGAGGTTTTACATTTTTGATCCATTTTAGGTTGTCTTTTATAAACAGTGAGAGGAAGCAATCTAGACTCATTCTTCTGCATATGCACATTCAATTAGCCAGCACAATTTATTGAAGAGAATGTTTTTCTCCATGATATGTTCTTGGGACCTTTGTCAAAAATCACTTGCCTAGAGAGGGACAGCCTGGATCCAAGAACAGCTCTAAGGTCTGCTTACAGGACTCTGTGAGAAGACTGGAATATTTCAAGACTTGTGAGTTCACAACCTTAGAGTGGAAGTAACTAGACAAAGCCCAGAAAGAGTGGTAATAAGAAAGGAAAAAAAAAGTGATTGAGCAATGTGCCCCAGCACCAAATGAACAGCAGCTCAGAAGGGGAAGGAATAATCACTTCTGATGCAGCAGTCAAAAGACAGACATAGCACTTTCTTGTAAACACTGGTTCCAGCTCAGGATGAGGATATACCCAAGGCAGACAGGGGATATGACTGCACTTAAGTGATCAAAGATAGGAGTAAAATTTACTATGATATCCAAAGCCAGTGTCACAACACAGGGAGAAACCCACTTACTAAAGAGTTCTTCACAATAAGGACAGAGCTTTCTACACTCAATGACTTAATAACTCACCAAAACAATCCCAAAAACCCCACTGAAATCTTGAGAAAACAAGGCATTAAGATGCCTCCACAAATTCGTAACTTCCCAAAATTTGATCTCATGGTCAATAAAAATGGACGAGTGAGAGTAAGGGAAAGTATGAGTGATCAAAGAGCTCTCTCCGCGGTCAAGCTCAACACTCTGGTCCCACCACAGGCGAAGGTTCCCACCTTTCTACATGAGGAGACCCTACTGGGTACTGATCATGCTGTTCCAACCACCCTGTGCAGGGAGACATGGCGAGGGGTGCTGGCATCCAGGATGGAGAACAGACCGATCAGAAAGGAAGTAGACTTTTTATCCGGATCCCCCCAGGCAGGACGGGGCGGGGGCCAGGCGGCCTTGGGCCGCTGGACTTCAGCCTCCAGGTATAGAGAGCCCTTAGCCAGGGCAGCGTCTCTGTGAAAACTACACTACCCACAATGCCACTATCCGAGTGGCAACAGGCCAACCCAATGAGCCCTCAGAAGAGGGTTGTTTCCGTGTTGGGCCACAGATTCAGGGCGGTACTTCCTGCCCAGCTGCCGGTTGGTCCTCCGAGCAGCTCTGGAGTGTATTGACCTTAGGAAATTCAGGAATGTGACTCAGAACAAGGTGGCGACACCGGAGAGACGCGGGGGCAGGGTCGACCCCGCTGCCCACCAGCTGGTACGAGGGGCGGCTACGGTGGAATCGATGGCGGCGGCCGGCTCAAAGGCCCCGGCCCAGGTGAGCGCCTGTCCTCCGCCCACCGAGCCCGGAGCCCGCGGACCCGCCTCCGACCTCCGTGCTGGGCGTGGGTGCGGAGTCTGGCTCCAGAGCTTGGACGAGAGTTAGAACAGCCTGGGAAAGGGGAAGAGGCCCAGAACGCCGCGTCCTTTGTCGGTGTCCCGCGGCTGCTGAGTCATCTTTGAGGAGGATCCAAGCTTCCTGGGGTCTCCTAGAGCCAGGGCTGCGTGGGATGCAGGGAGTCCTGAACTCCTGGGGCCCCCCTCCATACTCACTTGCCACACACGACCTTCTTCCCACAGATCCCATAACTGCAGAAGGTGAGTGGAGAGTGTCCCTGGTGTGAACTCACTGCATCTCTGGAATTGTGTCGCAGAACTCTGCCTGACACTCTTCCACCCCGTGCACCTCATGACCCTGAAGAAACCCCAAGCCAAAGGTAGTAAACCCAGGCTGGAGGTTATATGGATGGTTTCTCTTGCAACCCTTAGCAACCAGTGGAGTGAGAAATGAAAAGTTTCCCCAGGTATGGGTCCCAAAATGTGGAAATGCTAAGACATGAGGCTGAGGTTGGTCAGGGACCAAGCTGAGTGATGCTAAGGGTTTTGGTTTTAGCAGCTGGAAAGATAGAAGCTCCATCAACTGGGATGTTAAAATTGATAATAGAACTACTTTTTGTTGAGGATATCAGGAGTTAGTTTGGGCCATTTTAAGAGAGAGTTTTGAGCTAGGTGTAGTGGCATAAGTCTGTAATCCCAGCTACTCTAGAGGCTGAGGCAGGAAAATTCCAAGTTTGAGGCCACCCTGGACTTCCTTGAGAAAAGTGAACATGAGTCAGATGCAGAAACTTAGAAAATGCAGGGCAAGTATTCATGCCTATTCACCAACCTCTGAACTTAGCAGGATTTAGGAGTGATGCTTTGTGTGTTGGGGAATTTCAGTCAGAACAATGGATTCCCTGAGGGGCCCAGGTAGTCATCTGGTAGGATCACTGGGTCTGGACTGGAGTGCCCTTGGGGCATGGCATTGAATTATTGTTAGATGAGTAAAGGAAGAGTGGGACTGGTGATAGGACATTAAATACAGCAGAAGTAGACAAAGGCCATTGGGGTCTGTGATTCCCCAGGTTGTTCTTGGTGGCTGAGACCAAAGCAAGGAACCGTGAGGCAGGGAGGCATTCAGAACAGGATGTGGCCTGCATCTAACAGTAAGAATCATCAAAGAACTGGGTAATAATGGATTCTGGATCCATTTGCTCAGCTTTCTCTGGGCACCTGTGCCAAGAAATCATGGGGAGACCAGGGAGATGCCTGTGGAGTTGGGAGTCATCCATGTGAGCGGACCATGGTCAAGGAGAAATGCACTCAGAGAGGAAGTGTGAACTGAAGACCTGCAGCCCTGGCATCTGGGACATAAAGGATGAGCTCATACTGCGTCGTGTGTGAGAGGAACAACCTAGGGAACCCTGAAATAATTGCCCAACAAAAAGGGGTTATCACCTTCTTTTGCCAAGTCCAGAGTTCACAATGGCTTCTCCAGCTACCTGCCTGCTGGTGCTGTGGGAGAACACAGTGGTGATGGGATCATGAGAGACGTGAGCCTCCCCCATTGGCACTGGGGCCTGATGTCTCCACAGAGTTGCGAGATAGAGGAGACTGGGGGGTTGGGGTACACTTGGAATCCTAAGGGAGAAGTTGATTGTTGAGTGTGTCCCCATCATGACAGGGCCATGTGACCTTTGAGGACATCGCTGTGTATTTCTCCCAGGAAGAGTGGGGGCTTCTGGATGAGACTCAGAGGTTCCTGTACCTTGATGTGATGCTGGAGAACTTTGCACTTACCACCTCACTGGGTAAGGCCCTCACACCACACCAGGCTCCGGGATTCTGTCTGTCCTCTTCTCCCCCAGAGGCGGCTCTATCCTTTCTGCAGCCAGATCGCAGGCTCTGCCAACTTCTCCCTGTCTTTGCTCAGGAGTTGTGGGGCCAGCACTTTAGCTGAGTGCACTGCCTCAGCAGCCTTCACCCTGCTTTCTGCTCCAACTTTATCCCCTTCTAGCTGCCTGTGTCAGGAATTGCAGGCATTGTCATGATTGCTGCTTGTGTGGACCATGGACTACTTGCCAGACGCTTCTTCCAGGGTTTCTGTAATACTCAGTTTTTCTTGTAATGATCTTTTGGGTGTTGAGCTGCCCTTGGCTGCTGCTGATTATTTGTCTTAGTTGTCTTTCTGTAAGACTTGCCTTATGCACTTCACATGTAGTTATACAGCTTTGGGGTGTGGGGATACCTGGTTATTTCCGAAGATAAACATGAAAATATGGTCTCCACAGAAGCTTTGCCCAGGTCAGTGGCAGCTGGGAACGGAATGATGTCAAGATTGTGTTTAAATCATTCCAGGGGCCTGCAGAGTGTCCAGTAGTATTTTGGTGAAAGTGCCACAGGCTGCACCTCATTAATTTCTTTTCTTACTTTTCATTTCAACTGTGTATTCTTGTCCTGGGTTGCCCCAGACTTTGTTCTCTTGTGCCCCTTCCAAGAGCCCTGCTACAGTGTTTCCAGCACTGACCTGCATTCTGTATATGTACATTACCGTTAAACAATCCTGAATATGTGATACTCATTTCCCACTGGACACAACCAGCATTCTGCACAGAATGCACGTGTCTCCAGAGATGAGGTCCTGCTGAAAACCCTCACAGTGAGCTGAGTTGGAGACCCTTCCTCTCCTTCCTAAGGACAACCACACCCCTTCTTCAGTCTTCTGCTTGGCCAGGCCACCCTCATTCTGGATCTGAAGATGTCGGATACTGCGACACAGCCCCTTTTCCAGCCTTCCCTGAGTTCCCTCATCCCAGAAAAACCTAACAACTCAGTCCTTGTTGTATACATGATAAGGTTTCCCCTTCACTGATATGAAATATGTCCTGGGGTATATTTTAATTTGTGATCACTGAGTGACAATAAAAAGCGAAAATTTAAAACGTGATAAATACAATCAGTTCTCAGATATTTTCACCTTATATTAAGGAAACCTTGGCGTGATAATAGAATTTTAAAAATTCTTATTATCCCTAAGTAGGATAGGAAAATATTTAAATATGAGAGTAAGATAGGAGAACAAATTGAAGTATAAAAAAATCTCAGAAACCAGCCCTTAATTAATTTTCCTATGGCACTAACCAAAAAATAGACCTGGATATTTTTCCAACAATATCTTGCTAAAGATGTAAATTGTGTTAGAAATGTGCTATGCTCAGGGTGGCAAGTCCAAAAGTTATTTTGTTGGAGGTTATGAGCCAACATCTTTCTAGAATATTTGTAAAGATTAGTGGCATTGTGTCTAAGCAAGAAGGTAGAGAATAGGTTGTGAAGTTGGTGGGGAATGCTACCTGGAGCTCAGGGCCAGCCACTAACCCTCCAAGGTTCCCTCACCATCTAGTTTGGTGCTGCATGCCAGAGGTCAGATTTAACCCCAGTCATTTTCAGCTATATTGAAAAAAGCTTCTCCCTGTTTCTTTTGAGCCTTCTCGCTCAGTAGGCTAACCACTGGCCTTGTGCTTTCCTGGTACTACACTAGCCCATCCCATTGTAACCATCAGGTGCCCAGAATTGCAGTGTCCCAGAGACAAGCCCGTTACATGCAGCACTTATGCCAAGAAACAGACTTAACACCCAGGACCCAACTTATGCTAAGACTGTGTCTGTCAACAATGCTTTAGGTTGTAAGACCCAAGCGTGCAAAATCAGACACTGCACAAGGAGGCACCAGCCAAAGCACAAATGCACCAACTCAGTAGAGTCCTCTGGCAGCAGATGCTAAGTGGTGCAGCCAGGCAAGAAGCCCAGAATGGTCCAAGGAAAAGCCTCTTATGTGGGGCATCCTGACCTCTGTGCCAGTCACTTTAAGAGGTACCCAAGGATTTTAATTTGTAGAAGAAATTTAGTGCAGTACAGAGAAGTAAATGCCCCTGAAAGAAGAATTTCTAAGTTCAGTTTGTGAGAGCGGGAGGTATACTGTATGTGGCATCATGCAGGGTGACATGGGGAAGCAGCAGCTCATCAGGAGGCAGAAGCAAGAGAGGAATGCATTAGGCTACAGCCTTTGGTTTCTATAGGACAGTGCAGGGCAAGCTGCACATGTAGTAAGAAGCTGGTTCCTAAAACCACAAGGAGCCAGCACTCTTCCACCTCCGTTCTTTGTATCTTCAACAGAAAATTTCAGACGAGATGCATAGGCAGTCTTACAGAGTATGGTTAGAGTTTATTGAAAAAGATAGATTTGCAGAGCAATAGAAAATATACTTTAAAAAAAGGAGGTGGACAAGCACCAAGATGACAGTTACACCAAATGAGGTCTCAGGCTGCATTTGTATGATTAATGAATCATATAAATGCTTCTTTAGAGATCATTGTTCTTCTACAAGGAAAATGGGCAGTGTAGACCAACTTTAAAGGGAAGAAAATACCTGTTTACTCTGTGGGTGGAATATTTCTGGTTAGTTTGTTTTGAGATCTTGAGGTTTTACTAATCCCTCACTCTTGGTCTGGGGTTTGCATGAGCCATGGACCCTATCGACACAATTACAAGAGGCTACATAATCGTGGCCTAACATTTGAAATTAGAAGCTATTGGATTTTATCTTCAGCTAATGATTAAGCAAACGAAAGAAAGGGGAAAAAAATTATCACTTCATCTGCATTTCATCTGGCCCCCAATTGCGTTCTCCAGGCCTGCTAAACTTTCTGCCTAATAGGTCATGTTGGCTGAGTGGGATAATCTTGGTGAGCTTTGGGAAGGAGGCTGGCCTTCATTATCTAGTGCCTGGGCCTAGGTAGTTAGGACAAAGGTGTGTACTCCAAGAGTGTACAATTACAATACTGTGGTCTGCAGTATTGTTCTGGATTGTGTCATTATAATATGAACTGTATTCTCCCTTTGCTGTCTCTTCAAAATCATCTAGCCCTGGGCCGGGGATTTAGCTTAGTGGTTTTGCCACCTACTGCACAAGCGCAAGGACCTGAGTTCGATCCTCGGTACCAAAAAAAGAAAAGAAAATCAGCTAGCTCTAGGGGAGGGAGCACAGTCTTCCTGACCAGCACCATTTTTTTAAGATATCAAAAAATCTTATTAAACAGAAAAATTTAAAACATAGCTCCACCAGAGATAACATGCATTTCATTATTTCTCTTTCAGTTTGTGGGCAGGAAACAGAGGATGGAGAGGCACCTTCTGTGCAGAGTGTTTCTGTAGAAGTAGCATCCCAGGTCAAGACCCTAAAGGCAGGTCCATCTACCCAGAAGGCGCATGCCTGTGATATCTGTGTCCCAGCCCTGAAAGACATTCTGCATCGGGATGATCTGCCTGGACGGAAGCAGTGCTTTGTTAGGGCCTGTACAAATCATCTCCAGGAACAGAAGCATCATAGTACAGAAAATCTGTTAAAAAGAGACCCAGTCAGTGCCTCTTTTGTGAAGAGCTGTTTATTCCATGTGTCAGGGAATTCCCTCTTCTGTAGAAACATTGGACAGGACTTCTCAGCTAAGTGGAGTTGTCTTCAGGCCATCCCCAAAGATCAGAAGCCAAACAAAGTTACAACAGGTGTAGAGGCTATACACACTGGGAAGAGTTATTGCAAGTCAAATCAATGCCAAAAAGCTCCCAGCCCCAAACACTCATTTGTTCAGCACCCAAAAGTCATTAATGCAGAAAGATATTTTGAGTCTAGCAAATGTGGGAAAGCCTTCCAAGACAAGTATTCACTTGTTCCACTCCAGAGGATCCACACTGTAGAAAGGCCTTATGATTGCAGTGAATGTGGAAAGTCTTTTAGCCAAAAAGCTACCCTTATTGTACACCAGAGAGTTCATACTGGAGAAAAACCATATACATGTAGTGAATGTGGAAAGTCTTTTAGTCAAAGCTCTAACCTCATTGAACACTGCAGAATTCACAGTGGAGAAAGGCCTTATGTGTGTGGGCAATGTGGGAAAGCCTTTGGATGCAAATCCAATCTTGTTCGGCATCAGAGAACTCACACAGGAGAAAGGCCATATGAGTGTGCTGAATGTGGGAAGTTCTTTAGGCAAAGCTTCAGCCTTGTTGAACACCAGAGAATTCATACCACAGAGAGGCCTTATGAATGCAGCCACTGTGAGAAATCCTTCAGTCAAAAAGCCACTCTTATTATACACCAGAGAGTTCACACTGGAGAAAGGCCATATAAGTGCGGTGAATGTGGAAAATCCTTCAGCCAAAGCTCCAACCTTATTGAGCACTGCAGAATTCACACTGGAGAAAGGCCTTATGAATGTGGGGAATGTGGCAAATCTTTTAGTCAAAGAGCCACCCTCATTAGACACCAGAGAATTCACACAGGAGAACGGCCTTATGAGTGTGGGGAATGTGGGAAATTCTTTAGACAAAATTTCAGTCTCATTGAACACCGCAGAATTCACATGACAACAAAGATTTATGAGTGTAGCCAGTGTGGAAAATCCTTTAGCCAGAGAGCCACCCTTATTAGACACCAGAGAGTTCATACTGGAGAAAGACCTTATGAGTGCAGTCAGTGTGGGAAAGCCTTTGGATACAAATCCAAACTTGACCGCCACCAGAGAATTCACACTGGAGAAAGGCCATATGAGTGTGTTGAATGTGGGAAATTCTTCAGGCAAAGTTATAGCCTTGTTGAACACCAGAGGATTCACACTAGAACAAGGCCTTATGAATGTGGCCAGTGTAGCAAATCCTTCAGTCGAAGAGCTGCCTTCATTAAACACCAGAGAGTTCACACTGGAGAAAGGCCTTACAAATGTGGCGAATGTGAGAAAACCTTTAGTCGAAGCACCAGCCTTATTCAACACTGCAGAATTCACACTGGGGAGAGGCCATATGAATGTGGTCAGTGTGGAAAATCTTTTAGGCAAAAGTCTGTCCTCATTCAACATCAGGTGGTTCACACTGGAGAAAGGCCCTATGAATGCAGCAAATGTAGAAAATCTTTCAGCCAACGCTCCAGCTTCTTTCAACACCAAAAGTGTCACCATGGAGAGGCCTCATGAAGGCAGCAAATGCAGAAACTCCCTCAGCTCAAGGTCTGACATCATTTAGCTCCTGAAAGCCCACAATTGGGGTGTTAGCCTTGCCAGAAATGTGCTATTGAATGAGCTTTTGTGAGGGAGCTATTTGCTTGAAAATGCACCTCATACTTTCAAGCATCCAGAGGAGTGAAGTGCCCTTGATTTCCATGCATGTGTGAGGTGTATGGGAGCTGGTCTGCACATTCTACCCTTGTCTTTGGGGCCTTGTCAGAGATAAATGGCTGCCATATTATTTCACAAAAGCCATCACATCTAGCTCCTTGCACAGTATGCACCACTCACACCAACATGTCAAGGGAAGGCAGATATCTGTTCTCTCCCTTCCCCTCAGAGACATCCCCAGTAGCCTAAGACCAAAGAGTTACTTTTCTTTTTGGGTATATAGAGGGTCTGGTCATATTTTTGCTAGAAGGATAGTCTGGGTTCTGCTGGGGGCTTGCAGGAAAGACATAACTTCCTTTAAATTTCCAGTTGCATGTAACCTTTGTGATCAATTGTTTACAGAGTCCATATCACTAACCAGTATCATCTTACCATATTGCTCTAGTTTTCTAGGGTGTGTTCAGGCCTTGGATGGATGGAATATTAACACTGTGTGAAAGATTGGACAACTTAATATAGATTGCTACTTTGTGTGACTTAGTAGGGACATTCTAATGGCAGAGTAATTCTCATTCTGTTCTGCTAAATTTATGTTGCTACCCAAGTCCTCCAGTGGGACATGCAGGAATCCATGGCCCAGGTTTGAGACTGCCTCTATTATACAATGAACCCTTGACGTAAAAACTTATTTATCCCCAAGGGCTGGTTGTAACTCAAGTTGGTCAATTGAAGGATCAGGCTCCTCTACATAGCCTTCAAAGTCTCTCTCTTGTACAGACAGATCTCAGTGTCCTTAGACATTGGCCCAGGATTTCTCAACTTCCTACAGGAAAGGATGTTGTAATGTTCCTTCCAGAACTCTTAAGGGTTAAATCTGAGACCATCTGCAAGCACAGGTGGCTGGCATTTGGGTCATAACTCAAGACTTTGGTCATAAGTTAAAACTAAAATTCTGGCTATAACCCAAGTTGTTTGTCAAGCCAATCATAACTCATGGGTCCACTGTATTTGTTTGTTCCTTTGTACCAGTGGTCACCCAGAAGAAGCATCATTTAGTGACTACATTCAGCACTTCTTGGAATACCCTGCATTTATTACATTATTCCCACATGATTGCACATAATGCCCAACATTGTTGAGGGTAAACTTTTCCCTACATTCTACAAAGAGTCATGTGCTCTTAGGTCAATAATTTCATAGGTTGATATCAATAGTAAGATGCAGGGTCAAGGTATGAACAAGAATTAGTACAGAGATACAGAGTGTCATAGGAAGTGAAGGAGCTGGCAGAAAACCAGGTGGAATATGCTGCTGGAAGAAAGGATGGGAGGGGATGGGAAAAAACAAGATATTTTATGTACAGGTACAAATTTCCTATGTGAATGTGATCATATAAGAAGTATAGCAATAAAATTAATTTTTATAAAAGTACACCTCAGATTCTCAAATATGTCTCTCCACAACCACACTACTACCAAATCTGTATATCCTATAGTTTAGGAAGGTATCCTAAGAAGATTTAAGGTTTTGCAGAATCCTGTTTTCTTTTTGGAATGCTCATCTAAGTCTAGTTACTATATAGACAAAAAGGGAGTCAGAATGAAGTTCCATTATGCGAAAAAGTTTGTCTGGCAAGTATTGCTATTTTCGTCCACTGACACAAGAGTGCCCTTCCCCAGATTTGAGGAAGAAGATAATAGTGTGAATATGAGTTTGTCAAACTTGGTTTCCAAAAAAAAAAAAAGATATTTTTCTCAGATAATTTTATTAAAAATGTATTGAGGTGTGACTGATATATAACAACTTGAATATATTTGAAATATATAATTTAGGAAATTTTGTCACATATATAAATCCATGAAGCCATTATTATGATGAACATACCGAGAATTTATCTTGTGCTCTTGTACAGTATTGCTGGTTTCTTGAAGCCTTCATATGTCCACCTATCTACTTTCTTTCACAGTGGGTTACTTTGTATTTTTACAATTTTATATGATTGGAATCATAAAGTGTTTACTTTTCTGTTTTTCACGGATAATTTTAGATTCATTAATCTTGCTTATGTAAACTTTATTTTCATTACTGAATAATATTATATTCTATGTTTATTCATATATTAATGCCAGATGAATTGTTTCCAATTTGGAGCTGTTAACAAAGCTACAATGAACACAAGTATACAGTTTTTTTTTTGCATACACGTTTCATTGTAACAAAGCAACTTGTACACTTTGAACGTTTAAAACTGCACATCACCTTTTCCTTTCCAGTGAAAACAAAAAAGAATTTAAAAACAAACCAACAAAATTACAATAGAGAATGTCAATTCCAAATAAGACGCTACAGGTTCTGCTGATTCTCCCATAGAGTGGCAGGGCTCAAGTCATCATTAGGAGAGGAGTTTATTTTAAAAGTGTCATCTTAAACTGCAAGGATGGCTGTTAATGTCACAATTGAACATGCCAAAGGAGAAGCCATGTTGTCAAATGCCCACTTAACCCACCCAAACATCTCAAACCCACCCTTTGCTGACCTTCTATACCCCATTTTTAAAAGTTTTTTTCTTTTTTTAAAGAAGAGAAAGTAGACAAGTACATGTTGGTAAATGCTAACTGTCCATATTCACATAGAGTCACAGTGTAATCTCTGAGCCCAATATACAGAGAAAGGAGGAAAAGAGCTAGATTTCTATGCACTACTACACAGGGGCTGAGCACCCTCCAGCTTCCCACAGAGCTAAGGGAGCAGAAGGGTTTTCTTTTTTCCCACAGCACGATGGTGTTGATTCCACACAGTTTGTGTGAGACAGGAGGGGATCAAAATGAATTTAGGACAGAAGCTGTAGAGACCCTTTTCCCATTGTGTTCTGCTCAAGGTATCTCCCCACAAAGTAAGTTGAGAACCATGGTGTTTGAGAAAAGACTTCAAGAACAGGGCGACTGAGCACAAGAGGGGGGAAAAAGACTGCAAATTGCTCCCAGGGACTGGAGAAAATTTTTTTTTAAAAAGGTTGGAATCCATCAGTGTTCAATTAGTCATCTTCCTCTCCTTCCTCCCCTTCATCAGATCATCTTCACCTTCATCCTCATCCCCTTCTTCATCAATGTCTTCCAATCCTTCTTCATCATCATCATCATCATCATCATCGTCTTCTCCTTCCCCTTCCTCGTTGTTGTGCCAAGCGAGCCCATAAATTACCAAACACTGGGACCAATGACAAAGTTAAACTGAAAGGAATTTATTCATGTAGGTGGACTCCACTCCCTAAGCGAAGTGAAGCCTTGAGTCCAGAAACAGCACAGTTTATATAGGGTGTCATAGCAGCATAGCTTTTATAGGTGTTATTTAAAGAAGAGAAGTTCAAGGGGAGGTTAACATGTTTTTGACTAGTTGCAAAATATTTTTCACAACTCAGCTATCTTGCTGCCTTTCAGGTTAGGGCAATTCACAGGAAAGGGAGGCACCAGGCACCATCCCTTTCTGAGAAGCGATGAAGCTGGTTTACAGAAGCAGAACAAGCAGTTACAAAAATGCACTCTGTAAGAGGAGGGGTATGAGGGGAGTTCATCTTCAGGCTAAGATGGTGTTTCTTAGGTTCATCTTGGTCTCACACTCGTTATCCATATCAGGAACCAAGTAGTACTGCAATGGATTTGGCCAAATCTCACCTTTAATGACCTCTCCTAACTCATCTGCACCCACAACAGCATGGTTGGTAAAGCAGGTAAAGAAGATCCCGGGTTCTCCATGCTGCTTCTTCCTACTGGCTTTATTCTGTGTGTGACTTGAATGTTTCATTAAATCCTTTCCAGATTTCCATTTCATTTCAGTGGACTTTGAAGATGGATCACCACTCTCATTCAGATGAAATTCTTTGGAGAGAATTTCATTTTCGAAGTAAGGATTTTCATCAAAATAAAAATCTATTCTGTAACCTGATTTTATATCTTCAAATTCTGTCACTTCGACTCTGGTCAAATAATGCAGTGCCTCTTCATCTTCCTTCCCAAGCAGTGCAGACACCTGTGGATAGTTAACAAATGTTACCCAAAAATTTGGGATTTTGGCGATCAATTCTGACCTCTTCTGAAAAAAATGGTTGGCAGTGTTTGTTATATTTCTGTTCTACTTTCAATATCTCCTCACTGGCTTGTTCATTAAGTCTAGCTATTTCATTTTGTATTTCATCAATATGTTCAGTTGTTTCTTGTTTTTCTTTCTCCCTTGGGCAGGCCCGGCAAGGTGGATGCCACCTTGGACTTGGGGGCTAGAGACTGTCAGGCCTTCTTGGTTGGAGGGGGGAGTGGAGACTCACAAGTATACAATTCTTTATATGAAAATACATTTTAATAATTTCAGATTTGAGAATGTTTCACTTTTAAAAGACTGCTAAATTGTTATCTAAACTGAATGTGTCAGTTGCAGTCCCACACACTATCATTGTTCCTGTTCCACCACAAGTTTGGCATATTTGGCAGTGAATGGGCATGAAAGCCTTCATTGTTTTTTTTTATATTGATGATATTGTCATTCTTTCTAATTTTAGTTATATTAATATGTGTGTAGTGTCATCTCATTATTTTAACTATACTTCTCTGTTGTATCATGATGTTGAACTTTTTTTTTTTTTTGGTACCAGGAATCAAACTCACAACCTTGTGCTTGCGAAGGCAGACACTGGCACCACTGAGCTAAATCCCCAGCCCTGAACATTCTTTGACTTGCTTCTTTGCCACCTGTATATCTTTTTTCATATAATGTTTTAATACCACTGACCTACTTTTAATGGCTATTGAATAATATTTCTCTTTTCAGGCCAGGGATTTAGCTCAGTGGTTCCACCTCCTGCCTTGCAAGTGCAAGGTCCCGAGTTTGATCTCTGGTACCAAAAAAAAAAAAAAATTCCTCTTTTCATTAAAAATTAAGAAATTTTTTTGGTACCAGGGATTGAACTCAGGACTTTGCACTTGCAAGGCAGGAGCAGCATCACTGAGCTAAATCACTGGCCCAAAATTAAGAAATATGTATAACAAACACACATGTTGGAACTTCACCCTATCTTCATCATGGGAGTGATTTCATTTTCCAGTGACTGGGACAAAATACCCACTTACAAATTAAAGAAGTGCTTTACTTTGCCTCATGATGCCAGTAGGTTCAGTTCAAAGTTAGCTGGCTCCAATGCAAATGTAGCATGGGATAGGGACCTGGGGAGAACAGCTGCTCAACTCATGGCAGTAGAGAGAGACTTGAGGTTTGTGTTTTGACTCTAATGGTTTCCCTGTATCACAACCTGGAGGTTTTATTTTTCTCAGTGCATTCAAGTTCGTGAAAGAATTAACTAGAGAGGGAAGCCATACGTATGCAGTAAATATAAGAAACCATTTACTTTTCCACTTACCTTAAAAAATATGAAAGAGCTCTGAAGAGAAAACTTATGTAAATAATGTGTGAAAAGCTTCTATGATTCTCCTAATACCAGAAAACACACAAACTCAAAGTGAGATTTAGTATAAATACTGACTGAGAAAGCTAGAAATCAGAGTGACAGAGACATAGAGCTGTGTTAAGAGTAAGATGCAGTTTGAAAGCACACATTCAGAGACAGTCTTCCTCCAATATATCTATGAACTAATGCACTGATGGGGTTGGAAAATACATAAGGTTAAATTCAGAATAACAGAACCTTGCATCCAAGTCTTCAATACATGGTCTTTAAGGGACGTTTTACATACAATCATCATAGTTGTATTGGTAAAGTGAAGTTTATGTATACAATGAAATTCTATTGAGTCTTGAAAGAAAATCCTTCCTTTATGACAATGTAGATTAACCAAGAGATCATTACATGAAATATGCCAGGCATAGAGAAATTAAAGCTTGATCCTATTTGTTTTAGACAACTTTAAAGAAGCAGAGAGTTCCGTGATGGTTGCCACGTGTGGGTAGGGAAGTTGAGGGATGTTAATGAGAAAGTACAATATTTCCCTTGTAGAGTACAAAATGGCATGGATCTCATAGAAACTACAGTGATTGGTGTGGTGCCCACATAGCATTACAATTTGCCAAAAGTTGTTTTTAGTGTTTTCTCCATATATCCAAAATGTAATTCTGTTAGGTGATGCAAATGCTACCTAGGAAGAATGTGGTAATTTCACAAAATAAACAGCAACAAATTCCACTGGTCACATTCAAGGTATGATTTTGTAATTTTTTTGTTTTTGAACGAAATGAATACAATTAAATTTAGCAAAAAAAAGAAATAAAGAAAAAAAAGAAACTGCAAAACCCCAACAAACACATGGAAACTGAATAACACCCTCTTGAACAACCAATGGGTCACAGAAGTAATTAAAGAAGAAATTAAAC